TGCACCAAAAAGCTCAGCAGATTCAATCCCCGGGCCTGCTGTGCTGGACCCACCCCCAAGGTGTGCTGAGACATGACCTGAACATCCTGTAGACCCTTCCCTAAAATAAAAAATCAATAAAAGAGAAATATATAAAACAGATTTGCACTTTACCTAACCAATAACCTCTAATAAGAACTTATGCTCCTCTGCTCAAGATTTTATCTATCACTCATTGTACACAAATTTTCAGCTCCAGTTCTTGCTCCCGCTACAAATTTGAAAATGGTTTCCTTAGAGCTCAACTATTCACAGGCATCACAAACAAAGTCCACATCAGAACTCACTACTTCTCTCCCACAGGGGCCAGGGAGCAAGCTTAGTAGCATAAGTACCTGCCTAGCAAGTACAAGGTCCTGAGTTCAATCCTTGGTACAAAATAAATAAATAAATATTTATTTATTTATTTATTTCTCTCCTACAAACCTACTTTAACTACAGTTACCCTTTCATCCTAGGTTTCCAAATTTCAAGTCTTGACATGAAAATGTAGATCCATGCTTGTAATCCCAAAATGGGGCAGACAGATTGTTTCTAGTTTGAGACTAGCCTGGGCTACAAAGTAAGCTCAAGGCAAGCCTTAACTGTATAGTGAGACCCTGTCTGAAAAGGACAAAGGGAGGGGGAGAATGTAGGTCCCTAATCAATCACCATGCCTTGTCTCTTTTTAAAAATCTCAAAAATAGAAATCTCAACTACAAATCCCATCTTTGGGGGTGGGGGCAGGAGATAGCTCAGTAGAATAAGCGCTTCTCTGGCAAGAGCAAGGGCCTGAGTTCAACCCCTGGGGGGGGGGGGGATCCCATCTTTCTTGTTCTTTTATCTATTAAGTCCCATCTCTTTTGCTTCTATCCATACTTGCCAAGATTGAAAGTCTTCTGCATACTGTGTCACAAGAGTGTCTGTGACTCTTTCTGTCTATTCAAGGCCCCTCATCTCTACCTGCTACCTTCTACTGGCAATGGATTAGTGTACTTCTGGAAGAGTTTGCAAAACCTGATCCCTTCATTCCAGTTTTTTTTCCTATCATTTCCAGTATTGACTTACCTTCCCCTAAAATTTCAAAATTGGCCATCTGTCTGTCTCTCAAAAAAATTCATTATAGGAAGCCTTCCCCGGACCTTGTTGCAGCCCAGTGGAGTTTATATTTGTTATCTCAAGAGAAAGTTACTGGAAGGGCCGGCCAGATAGCTCAGCAGACAAAAAAAAAAACCAAAAAAAAAAAAAAAAACCCACCTGCTCAGGCAGAGCGCAGCAGGGGTTTAATCCCCAGCATGCCTGCGGGCACCTGGCCCACCCCTGCCCTCCAGGATCACTGAGATAGAGATTGAAACTAGGCACTGGGCGTGGTGGCGCACACCTGTAATTCCAGCACTTGGGAGGCTGAAAACAGGAACATCACTGCAGGAGTCTGAGAGTCTGATCTACATAGTGAGACCCTGTAGACTAAATGCATTTAAAAAAGTGGGGGGCAGGGAGATGGCTCAGCGGAATAAGCACTTCTCTGGCAAGCGCAAGGGCCTGAGTTCAATCCCCGGTTCCGCCAAAAAAAAAAAAGTCTTTTAAAAAAAGAGAAAGTAAAAAAAAAAAAGTATTTTAAAAGGGCCGGAGAGATAGCTCAGTAGAATAAGTGCTTGCCTGGCAAGAGCAGGGTCCTGAGTTCAATCCCTAGTACCGCAAAACAAAACAAAAAAACAAAACCAAAAAAAAATTATTAAAAGAGAAAAGTTACTGGAATCCCAACAAAATTCCAATCCACCACTCCCAGCACAACCCATGGTGAAAATAAAGACACTAAGACATATTTGTAGTTATAGGGAGCCAGGGAGGCCCTAAATCCAGTTAGAACAATATCTAACTGGAACAAAGGCCACAATCCAGGGCCAAATCTGGGTTTTATTAATTTATAAAGAGAAGTGGCTCAGGAATGAGTGACTGTGAAAAAGGCAGGAAGTGCTCAGGTGTAGAAAGCCTAATAGTACCTCTACAACATGGAGTGAGGAGAGAGAGAGAGAGAGAGAATACAGAAAGAGTAATTTTCCTATCAAAGATTGACTATCTCGCACTTAAGCTTTGATGTGTAATCTTCATAGATTTTTTTTCTCAAATCTAAGTCTCAACCACAGCAGTGTGGTGACATTATACAGCAAAGTTCACACATACTAGTTGGGAGCTATAGACTAGGCATCAATGACCTGTCCTATTACTTTAAAGGCTACACATCAGTACTTCACCTAGACCCATTTGCATTGATTAAAATAAACTGAGAAGAAAAGAAATATCCTAGCCAGCTCTGTGCATATCAATACACGGAAATAGGGCCAGGTTTAGACAAAATGGAGCCAAATGTTCTTCTTACAAGAACCATCCTCGTGATCCTCCACAATTAATGCTTCCCCAGTGTACAAATACAGTACAATACAGTCAAACTCAAGTTTGCTGTTATAGTCCTCCACAGTTTGTCACCTAAGTACTTTTCCAGAATTAGATTCCACAGTTCAAGCTGTCACTTGCTCTTATTATCTGTCTATCAAAATCACGCCCACTCTTAAAGGCCCAACTCAGGCCCTACTTTTCATCTGTAGCATACTCTTCACATGATTAGGAAAGGAACCAGAAGAAAACAGACACAATTTCTAATGAAGTACTTCAGAAAGTTGGGGGTAAAGGCTAAACAATAGCTCAAAATCCTTAAACCCTTCTGGAAAAATTGAATTTCTTGTTTTGTTTTTGTCTTTTTGAGCGGGGTCTCATAGTTCAGGCTGGCCTTGAGCTCATTTTGTAGCCCAGGTTGGTCTCAAACCCAAAAAGATCCTCCTGTCTCGCTTTCCCAAGTACTAAAATTACAGGCATGTGCCACCATACACAGCAACATTAAATTTCTTAATAGGCTGCTATTCAATATTAACATTTCTGCCAAGAAGCAATCCATCCATGAATCCAAGACTATTAGTCAACATTGATCAAATGCTAATAATGAAAAATGTAAAAGATTCAGTATTATATCATGTACAGGTAAAAATTTCCTATAATGTATGTTATCATTGTGTATACCTAAAATGTCCCATTCAACTTAATTAATTAAAAAATAAAGTATATCTATCTATAAGAAAAAAAAAATTCAGTATTATCAACCTGAACACAAAAGGCTCTAATCTGGACCCAGGATTCATATTCCACTGTATTTATATTTTATTGAGCAAAGGAAAATTACAGCAAGAGAAGTTAGCATTTCAACTGAATAAAGTGTTGGGTCAAGTAAATCTGCAGCAGCAACAGAAATAAGTCCCAGATCTAAATCATCTTCAAACTAATAAATGTATCACCAGATAAGGAAAAAATATTCTAAATTATTTATTCTAAAGCTAATTTTTAAAGAGGCAATAGAATGTCAGCAGCAATAGTGAGCCTCAGGAGACACAATTACTGTTATACTTACTAGCAGGTACAAGAGTACTGAGATGTGCAACAAAAGAAGTGATACTAGGGGCAGTATTTTATCTCCATTACCTTTTTTTTTTTTTTTGCGGAACCAGGAATTGAACTCAGGCCCTTGTGCTTCCCAGGAAAGCACTTATTCTACTGAGCCATCTACCCAGCCCCTTCTATTACTTTTTAGGCCCTTCTTTTTTTAAGGCCTGACTTAATTTCTCTTTTGGCTCCCAAGTTTGAATTCGAGTTAAATTTTTCTGCTGTAAACTGGGAAGCATTTTGCTCCTACACGAGAATATTCATGATTAAAAAGCCTTTTCGGGAAGAACATTAACAATAAAATATATCAAAACTCTGAAATTACTAGTAACACTAAGGGTTGTATTGAAAAGAGGTGCAGCATTTGAAATAGGAGTCCAGAATCTTAAGTCTGATTGTAGTTTTGAGACCTGGGAACTAACTTCACCTAAAAATACATTCCAACTTGAAAGAGGAATGTCACTATCTTTTTCCTTCCTCCACGGTTAACCAGATACAACACAGGGAGAACAGCACATGCCATGAGGCAATTCAATAAATGTTTATTTCACTCAACACAAAAGGCTTAATATTTATGTGTAAGAGAATTAACTTCTACCAATTCTTCATCAACACAACATTCTTCACCATGTAACACTATAGCCAGCTCATTCTAAATAATACAATACTGTCACCATCACTCTACAAACGTTTCTGAGAGATCTGGATCACTGAATACCTGCAGGCGACTATGCAAGTATTCCAGTATGATCACATATACACTGATCAAAACCTCGCTTATGCTGTTAAGAAAGCTCATTTAGGGTAATGGGGGCAAAAAGTCAAATTAGGCCGAATTCCAAACACATCTTTAATAAATCAAAAGAATTCAGTAAGATATTCAAATCCATTTTAAAACTGCAAGGTTGAAATATTCCACAACCAACACTGGTACCACTAATGCTTTTTAGAAAGCCTGAGCAGGAAAACACCATTAGCAACATTAGAAATATTTAATGAAAGCTGTTCGAGCTTAACAGGGATGAAAGACGCGAAGTATTATTTCGGTGTTCTACAACACACGGAGGTGAATGCCTTTCAAGACCACAGCCATAGCCACCATCCACAATCATCTGATGGAATTTCTGGTTTTACACGCGAATGTCAAAAAGAAGGCCATGGTACTAGCAGGTTGAGAAAGAAAGGGACACTTCCATTCCGCTCGCGAGGGTCAGTCCGCTCTTGAAGTCCGGAGGTCCACGAATCCTGGCCTCCGCCCCAGCCCCTCCCAACAGTGAGCAAGGGCCGGCCCGGGAAGCGCCCAGAGTAACACCTAAAGCTCCACCCATCCTAGGGCATTGCCGAGTATCCCCGCACACGAACCGAGAAACTTGGGACCGGGGTCGCCAACGAGCGGGAGGGTTGAGGCACAGGCAAGGCCTCGGCTGCGTCCGCTGCAGCGGGAGCGGTGGGGTGGCCGGGCGCGGCCGGGCCTGCGGGCGGACACTCACCACACCATGCCGTAGGCTCCCTCGCCGATGTAGGAGAGGTTGGTGTAGCGCGGCCCCACGTCGAACACCTGCCCGCGGACCATCTCCGGGCCCGCTCCCGCCGCCGCCGCCGCCATGTTGGCTGCCGGACCGCCGCTGCTGCCGCGCTGGACTGACGCTCCGCGGCTCCCGCTCAGCAATTTGTCGCGCCTCCCGGAGGGGCTGCCCCGCAGCCCGTGCAGCAGCCGCCGCTAACCGAGAAGGAGAAAGGACAACGATGAGGAGAACCGAGAAGCCAACTACCACTCTTACCCACTGCCTGCCTGACTGACGGGCGGGCCGGCGGGAGAGCGGAGGGAGGGGTGCGCGCCGAGGAGGGCGCCTGGGCGGGGCCAAGCAGCGTGCGCGTGGATTGGCTCTCTGCAGTTGGGGGGCGGGGCTGCGCAGCCTGGCGGAAGTAGCGAGCTCAGGGCGGAGCACTGCGGCGGCGGCGGAGGCGACGCTGATCTTTGCGGTCACGTGCGTCGCGGGCAAATTACGAGGGAGGTGGCTTTTGCAGCAATGAAGGAGACCGGACTGAGGGGCACTGCGAACCCAAGAGCCAAGTCTTAGCAGAGCTAGACATCGGCCTGTGACTATGAGACCTGAGGACTCATCACAGTAGCCACTGGGACCCTGAGATAGGCCTCTGCGAATCCCTGGCCCACACACTAAGGAATTTAGATCTGACTAGGACAGAAATTGAAAGACTTGAGAGAGACCGAGAAAGACATTTGCATACCGAGAAAGTGTGAGACACAAATACGGAGACCAAAAACGGAAAAAAAAAAATGTGTAGATTCGCTAATCAGAGGTTCAATACACAAATATTTGTTGAGTACATATCGTATTTTAAAGGATCCACCTTTTATTTTTGAGAAAGAAAAGGCAAATTAATATACCGAGCTATATGTACTGCTATGATATTATGAAGTAGTGAATTAAAAGCCTTAAGAAAAAGAAACAGACCTAGATTAGTGCAGATGAACAGAAATCTAGATATAGGGCATACTGACATATAAATGCAAAGATGGAATCGGTAAAACTGCAACATCAAGTTTTGGGGCAGTGGGGGCAGACAGGTGCTGAGGCCTAGAAACAGTCACAAACACCAAAGGTCAAAAATGAAAATTGGGGGCTAGAGAGATAGCTCAGTGGCATAACTGCCTGTCTGGCAAGCACAAGGTCCTGAGTTTGAGCCCCAAGACCACAAAATAAATAAATAAATAATAAAAATTGGAATCCCGAAGTAATGGATGCCAAGAAACATCTAACAGAAAACAACTCAACCGGGGCTGGTGAGATGGCTCAGTGGTCTAAAGCACCTACTTAGAACAAGCTTAGCAAAGCACAGGGACCGATTTTCAATTCCCCAGCACCACATGCCAGCCAGCCCCGCCCCCCCACATATAAATAAATAAATAAAATTAAAAAAAAAAAAAAAAGAAAAGAAAACAACCCAACCATTGTCCCTAAACCATTTCCTTGCCATGTCTGGAGTTCCAGGCCAACACTGAATTCTTCCTTAAAGCTTTCAGTTCTGAACTTAAGACATCAGCAAAGAACAGCTAGTCTATCTAGAAGAATAAAAAGGTCTTTTAAAACCCCTTGGAGTAGGGGGGGGTACTGGGGAGATAGCTCAAGGATCTAAGTGCCTGCCTGGCAAGCACAAGGATCCAGATTCTATAACCACATGCCGTGCTGACTACCAAAACCCAGCTCCAGTGAGGCTGAGACAGGAGAATCACTACCAATCCAAGCTGAGTGAGACCCTGTAATAAATAAATAAATAACCCTATGGGGAGCCGGGGAGATAGCTCAGTGGCATAAAGTGCCTGCCTGGCAAGTGCAAGGCCGTGAGTTCAACTCTGGTACCAAAAAAACAAAAACAAAATACCCTATGGGGAAGCTTGGGATGTAGGATAGTGATAGAGCACACGCTTAGCAAGTGTCTTGAGTTCCTGAGTTCAACCTCCAGCACCAAAATAAAAAAATAAAACACTAGGATATTGGGGTGAGTATGTCACAAGAAAAAATAAAGTACTGGATTCAAAAATTACTCCTTCAAAATAAATGTAGCCCCAGGAAGCAGAACCCAATTTTAGAAAACACCTAATTCATATGTTTTACTAAAAGAGGATATTGTATCTTTTTAAAAAAATGGCCAAGGTAAACATAGGGTACCTTTAAATTAAACCACAATATGCAAGGTGAATGCAATAATTGAAGCTGTAAAAAGAAGACCTGATGATGCAAAAGAGCAAATCAGTAGAAAAATTTAAGAGGATGCAGAATAAAATGTTCGAATTCTTTTAAAACAGAAAATCATGGAGATTTGGGATTATTCATGGGAATTCAAATTATAGTTATACCTCCAAAAGAACACAGCAAACCAATTAGAGGTAATAATCAAAATGGAAGAAAACGTTCCTTAGGTCTAAAAAGATCAGAAGTGGAGGTAGAAAACTGAGTAGGTTCTTAAGGATCCAGAACAATGAATAAGGAGAAACCAACCTCAGGACATCATCTGGAAAAGCTGAAAAACTTTAGGGAAAAAAGACAAATAATATCCAATCAGGAAACAAAAAGTTATGTATTTATTTTAGTTTTTTGCGACAGAGTCTTGCTGTGTATTCCAAACTGGCCTTAAACTCACCATGTGGCCCAGGACGGCTCTAACTCATGGCAATTATCCTTCCTAAGCCTTAAAAGTACTGGGATTGCATATGTGTGCCACAATACCTGACCACAAACAGTTGTTTTTAAAGCTAAAAAATGATTTGCGACTGCTTCTCTGCAATAATTAAATGCTAAAGGAAAATGAAACAAGGCTGACAGCACTCTGAAGGGTTAAATTGTGATCCTCCTTGGATGATTTCATTGACTCTAATCCCTTCATTCCTCCTAGATCTTTAACTGTTGCTCAGAATATCTCTTGACCTCCATGTCAGCATATCTACTTGCACCCTGGTTAGCTCCATGTGACATCCCACAGAAGGATCATCGCCACATATCCAAACTGCCAGTGGTTGATTGCATGAATTCTGTGCTCACACTGCTAGAAGCTTTGCATCTTTGTTGATACACTTAAACCTGTGTGACCTTGACCTCAGTTTCCCTACACTTAACATGGGGATTGCAATACTGTCTACCGCATAATTTTGTTGTAAAAAAAAAATAAAACAACACACACGAAGCACCTGGCATGCAGCACATTTTGCACCGTATAAATATTATCTGTTTGGGCTGGTGAGATGGCTCAGTGGTCTAAAGCACCTACTTAGAACAAGGTTAACTAAAGCACAGGGACCACGGTTCAATCCCACAGCACCACATGCCAGCCAGCCGGCCCCGCCCCCTGGTGGACTGAGCTGGCCACACACACACACACACACACACACACACACATAAATAAATAAATAAATAATTTAAAAAAACACATTATTAAAAAGTATGTTAAAAAAAAATATTATCTGTTTTTGTTATCTACTCCACCCAAACCTGTTTCACATCTTGTATCTATGGGTAGCGTCACCTCTACCAGCCAAATACTCAAGCTGGAAATTGGGCTATAATCTTTTAGCAATGCACTTTAGGCTGGGGTGTAGCTCAGTGTTAGAATGCTTGTTTAACACAGGTAACAGAGCTTGCCTCATTCATGACCTCTCCCCACCTAACCAATCATAGATTCCTGTAACTTCTATTTCTATAATGTTCAAGCATAACTGGTACTCCTATGTGTAGTCTCCAGACAAGCAGCATTAAGTGGGACTTTGTTAGAAATACAGTCTACGGCCATACCACCCTGAATGCGCCCAATCTCGGGTCTGATCTCGGAAGCTAAGCAGGGTCGGGCCTGGTTAGTACTTGGATGGGAGAAATACAGCATCTCAGGCCTCCCCTCAGAACTCTTGAATCTGGATATTCATGTAACAAGATTCCAAGATGATTTGTCTGTACATTATATTTTGAGAGGCATGGCTTATGTAAGCACTTTATCTCCACTGCCAGTCTTCCAATTAGAGCCTGCTGCGTCAACTCACTGAGGCTACCACAGTGGCTTTAATTAACTTCTTCATATTCAATGTTCCCCACATCCAATTTCTTTTTTTTTTTTTTTTTTTTTTCTGCCAGGATCCATCTTTCTGTAACAAACCTGAATATGTTCCTGCCCTTATTTTTTTTTTTTTCTTTTTAAGACAGCATTGCTCTGGGTGGTACAGGCTGACCTTGAACTCACTATGTAGCTCCAGCTGGTTTCCAACTCACAGCAATCCTCCTGCCTCAACCTCCCAAGTGCTGAGATTATACCACCGTGCCTGTTTTATTTTTATTCTTTTGGGGTACCAGGGATTGCACTTAATGTATCATGCATACTAAGTGTGTGTTCTATCAGTCCCCTTCATGCCATTTCTGAAAGAAGTCAGTGGCCTTCCATTACAGGTCAAATGAAGCCCCCTCACTACACCAATCTCCTTTCTCTCCCCTCCTTTCATTCCATGCACCAGCCAGACTAGACACTTTCTCTTCTCCCTTGGTTGGTCTTTACATGTTCCAATCTCTCCCCTATAACATTCTTTTTCTCCATTTGACATTTTGAAACTACTACATTGGCAGAGTGTCGTACTGCTAGACACTATTAAACCACTGTGCACTTGGGATGCCTTGTGGAAACCAAAACTGTACTTCTGCACAGCCCCTCAGCTGAGATCTGCACCCAGGCAGGCACCAGCAGCTCAACTGACTCACCTGCTGCTGCACCCTGGCAGCCAGATCTGATGGCTCCAATGGCAACCACTGAAATGGGTATGGTGGTGCGCTCCGCTGTTGGACATACACTGAGTCATGTCATCACTGGGGCTTCAAGTGGAGAAAGTAAGGCTGAGCCCTTAAGGCCTGGCACTACCTTCCAGGAGCTTTGAGGAACCCTGCGAGCATGGCAGCAACAGCAGTTTAGCCTTTATTCTACGAGCTAAAATAGTGTTCTGAATGTGCCCACAACCAAGCTGATATTAAGCCTTGTGAGGGTTTAAAGGAAGTGCAGAAATGGTATAGACTTGCAAATGGCTTCATCTAATCAAGAAGTTCAAATTGGGGGGCTGGGGAGATAACTCAGTAGAATAAGCACTTGCCTGGCAAGTGCAAGGCCCTGCGTTCAATCCCTGGTTCCGCAAAAAAAAACAAAAAAGTTCAAATTGAAGCAATGGAAAATTAACTTTCACTTCCAAGTAAATTTGTGGGGTTTTGTTGTTGTTTTCTCACTATGTAGTTTAGGCTGGCTTTGAACTCACCATGTAGTCCAGGCCGGCTGCAAACCCTT